ATTAGAAACCGTACGATCCACTTAAAGTAAAATCCTCACAGCTGTGAGTTCAAAGGTCAGTAGTTCAAAGGTAAATTTGTCTTTTTGTAATTTGGGTAAAACAAACCTTTAAATTTAAATTTTTATGAACCACAGAGGCTCTCGGTTACATAATCTGAGCTCAGACATCTAAATCATCTCATGCCTTTCCTGCACACGAGCCCCAGGAGGTTGAATTCATCCCATCTCGGCTCGAGTCTCGTCCCGCTGGATAAATATCTCCCATCACTCACGGTCTCGTAATTGTCGGCGCTCCACGTGTGAATCATTCATCCCTCCCCATAAATAATAAAACCCTGGCAGCCAGTTAGCAGCACCTGCAACCTGAAACAGTAGTTGATGAAACTCAACCTTTTAGCTTGTAAGCTAATGTGTTTCACCTGCCTGGGCCGCAGCATCTGGGTTAGCTGCGAAACAACCCCCCCCCCCCCCCCAGCCTCCTGACCTCACTTCCTTTCCTTCTGATGAATTTTTCACCAAACCACTTTGATATTTTTACCGTCCCGTGAGAGCCTGGGTAGCACAAACTGGAATTTAAACCAAAATAAAAAAGCTGCACTTCTACCCTAATTAGTTCCCTCCTCAGAAGTGGGCCTTGCATTATTTACACATCAAGGGGACACACGGGGCGGGAGATGAATATTCATTGTTGACTTTGCCCCGGTCCCTCGGCTCGGACACGAGTTGAGTCAGAGATCCGCTGTCATTGTGACCCGCTTACGAATGATCTCCTGTCTAATTATTTCACTTCATGCTGATGGACCGACTCATAGAGGGTTTAATAAGTGGACACCACCATCGTCCAGCCCATCGGTGAATTGACTGAAGTGATTTGCCGTAATTGCCACCATGGTCTGACGTCTCTGGTGTGAGAACAACAAACAGTTGAAGCATCCAGTTAGACGGTGACACCATTTCTACCCCCAAACCTTTTGATTCTGGGTCGTCTTTAATGAGATGGACTGAACTGACTCCAAAAGAATAACCGGATAGCGGCTGGTATTAAGGGTTTCCTGCTTCTGGTGCTTTCGAAGCAGATTTGTGGAACGTGACGGTTGACTTCCTGTCAGAAGCACTGTAAGAATAGACGCCTGTGTGTGACCTTTGACCTCAGCGGTCATTTGGCCTTGATGGCCCATTGTCTTGCCTCATCTGTGCCCAATAGGAAAGTCTTGTTGCTTCAAAAAGCAGCCCCTATTTTAGGTTCTTGACAGCTGCTCGTTCCCATTTGTTATTGTTGCACTCATAAAAGTGAAGGCAATATTTTCCCTCGCTTCTCTGTGCGTGTTTGTGTTTATCGATGGCGTTGGCCAAATCGTCAGAACTGACCTAATAAATGTAAAAATACTGTTTTAACTATCAGTTTCAGATACTGACTGCTGCTACCTATTCCTCTAAACTTACTCTGAACACAGTATGTTTGCCTAAAACTTTGGCAATTTTTTTTTTTGTCAACCCTGTTTGTTAGCATATAAGGAACCATAAAACAAACGTTCAAGGGATGACCACTGGAGGTACACCTACAACACACTCATGACCCACTACTCTTACTGTAACTGCATTTTTACTGTAGTTTATTGTCGTCATTGTTTACTTTTGTCGTTGTCTATACTTTATTTGTTCTGTCTGGAACAGGTCCCACTTGTAAATGAATCCTCGTGGCTCAATGAGCCTAGCCTGTGTAAATAAAGCTTGAATGACTAAAAAAAAGATGACTGCTACAGTTAATATACCTTAGCCAACAAAAAAAAAAAAACATGGTTATAACTTACCTGTGATGGACTTGCGACCTGTCCAGGGTGTACCCCGCCCCTCGCACAGTGATTGCTGGACATGGGTACCGGCAACCCCCGTGACCCAACATGGAAGAAGCGGGTGAAAGATAATGGATAGATGGTTATAACTTACTCAAAATACGCAATGCAGTACACCAAGTTTTAGCATATCTTGTAAGATACGACTCCTGTGGCTATCTTGAGTTAAAACTCTGGCATGGAAGGGCAGTACACGTCCCTTTAAGGAACACTAGGCCTTTAACGTTATAACTTGTTACAGGAGGTTGTGAAACCGAGGCGCTGGCATCTCGTGATGCCTAACACAAGAATTAGAATAATCACTGTCAACAATAATGGCGATCCCATCACTGGAAAATCTAAACAAGGCTTTTCCATATTTATAGAAGCAATAAACAGAGAATGTGCTGCAAAATGTCTTATGATTCAAAAGCAAGCTGTGTTTACTGGCTTTGAAATGGATATTTGGGCTGGTGGACTGGGTGAAGAGGATGGGAGTTTTAAGTTGTGGGATACAACTGGAAATGTAATATTGCCACGCTACACTTGGAACTGAAACCATAAGTGTCTCACTCTCACCGTCTCCACGGTTTCCACTTTCCCTCGGACAACTGGATACTCATTATTATTTAGCTGCTTTCTGACAGCCTTACAATATGTCGTTGGAAATACAGCAATGAGCTAGTTTGATGGACTTTAAAAAAATTCAGACCATACTTTTGTTTTTTTAGGTTGACTGAATTTTATTTGTACATTATGCTAAATATTTAAATGTTTCTTAACTGGGTAGACATTTGCTTCTGTCAATGACCCATAGTGACAAAGATCTACTGCCTGTTTAAATTTACCAAATCTGCCAGGAATAATAACGTACACAGTTCTAAAATGCACAGTATCATTTTTGTAACACTTATTAACTTTTAATTAACCAGTCAAATCCCACTGAGATCACATATCTGTTTGTTAAGGGAGGCCTGGGTCTGTAGGCAGGCTAAACACGCATGTTTTTGGACTGTTGGAGAAAACCGGAGTACCCACAGAAAACCGGAGTACCCACAGAAAACCGGAGTACCCACGGAAAACGAGAGTACCCACGGAAAACGAGAGTACCCACGGAAAACGAGAGTACCCACGGAAAACGAGAGTACCCACGGATAACGAGAGTACCCAGAGTAAACCAGAGTACCCACGGAAAACCGGAGTAGCCAGAGAAAACTGTAGTACCCAGCAAAAACAAAGTACCCAGAGAAAACTGGAGTATCTGTAGAAAACCTACAAGGAGAACATGAAAACCCAATTCAATTTTTTTATTTAGCACCAAGTCACAGCAGAAGTCATGTCAGGGTACTGTACAAAACTCCACACAGATATACCCCTGGCCCAACCTGGAGCTTGAACTCAAGATTTCCTTGCTGTGAGGCAACCACTAATACACTGTGCCGCCCAATCAACCATTTAAAAAAACTGGAGATTATATCAGGACCCACCTTTGGTGTTTTGTGACACATATTGAGGTCCCAACCCCAACTTTGAGAACCAGTGAGGTAGATAATCTGAAACATAAGAAAAGACCAAAAAGTAACTGCAAAAATTAATTTATTTTACAAACACGTCGTTTTCCAACAGTTGTGCCATCTAAAACAAAAAAGGCTCACACAAAACGTTTACTGTAAAGAAGAATGTGCGCTATTGTCTGGAATTTTACTGCAGGACAAAGTGTTAGAGTTTTCATTGTTTGATTTCTAAAAGCTTAACTCAATACAAAAGAAAAGTACAACCAAATAAGTGACTGTTGGCAGTCGGAGGGTCTCCAAATGTGGTCACAAAAGCCTTCAAGCTGGCTCCACACGTTATCCACTGAAATGAACATGACACTTTGATTAAATTTAAATTGCATACTGTATGTAAACAATTGACCTATTCACAAGTTTTACTCTCACCACTTGAGCATCTGTAAAAAATTATAATTATCCGAGCAAGTCACTCTCTACACAGGACAAAGTTTATCCATACGGGGCCTTGTGGTCTTCTTTAATGTCTGTTTATTTTGGTTTGTGAGACTTGAAAGTGAAACTTCCTAAACTGCAGTTAGTTTGCTCCAGAGTTACACTCTGCACAATTCTATAAAAAAATAAAGTTAATTTGTAAACTGTGTAACGTCAGTGAGCGCCAGTGACCGCTCTCTTTATAAATGACTGTATGAAAGTTCACCTTGCTATTACACAACTGCTAGCAGTAACTGAGACAAGTGAATGTTGTCATTTTAATACTTTCTCTTCCACAGTTAGATACCACTAATGTCTCAGCACATAAGCTAGGCTACAAGTAGGGTTAGCTAATGTTTTAGCTTTTAAGTTGTAGTATTAACAATAACTAAAGTCTAAAAATCTAAGCTAACTATGTAGCATTAGCTGATGTTTTAGCATTTAAGTTAATTTATAAATAATAATATCAATAACTAAAGTCTCAAAATCTAAGCTAACTAATTAGCATTAACTAATGTCTTAGCATACAAGCTAGGCTGTACGTTTTCCAGTTTTAGCATTAGCTTTTGTTTCTGATGATACTTTTTATAATTTTGATTTGCTTCATCATTTCAAACTCCAAAATTAAACATTTTAAAATATCTCAGTGTGGGTTAAAAAAAAACAAGTGTGAAAATTCAGTTAAGAGTATCCATGTGTAATTCATGACCTTTTAAACTTTTTTTTTGTTTTGTCGGTATAAACAAAATATTTAAGTTAATGAATTGTTGCATTTTGTTTGACTTTAAACACATGTTTAATTGAATCCTTATTATTTTTTATTTATAACAGTAGGTATGTTCTACTACTAAATAATATATTAAAAAGAAATCTAAAATCTAAATCCAAAGCTAAGGCTATCAAGCTAGCTAGCTTTAGCTACGTTAGCTCAGGTCTGTTTTCTGGTTCTTGGATAATCTTGTTTTCTCAAACTTTTATATCCAAGTCAGTTTAAGTCCTATACAGTAAATAATTTTCCTGAGTTTTTGATGAATACTCTGTTAAGTTGGTTTTTGTTTTGTGGTTGCACTATACAGTTTGAAAGTTTTTCCCCTCCAGCCATTGTGAAGTTGACGTGCATCTCGTGTATCTGCTTCTGAAATCTAACGAGTCGGCTGTAGCAGCTGGGTTGTAACAGTCTGGCATGGCTTTAATGGAAACTCTGCTTCTTCTTCTGCAGGTGGAGATCACTCTGCAGGACGTCAACGACAACCCGCCTGTGTTTCCCAACAATATCCTCGATATGACCATCGAGGAGAACGTCGGAGACGGCGTCAAGATAATGCAGCTAACAGCCACAGATGCTGATGAGGTCAGCCTTCCAAGTGGTTGATTGTTTGACTGGTTTTGTAATTATCTTCGCCCGTTTTCCAGTCAGCCGCTTTTAGGACAGAAATCCTGAGAGTCATTTGAATTAAAATAAGCTTTGAGTTTTCATTCTTAGAACGTTGGAGCCAAAGCAGCTATCGGTTCGAAACTGGAGCCGAGTCAAAACTTGACTTTTATTATTTGACCATTTTAATTTTAAAATTACACCCCAAAGGGCAGAAAGCCATTTCAAACAATTATGAATTCATGCCAGGAGACTTTGCAAACCCATGACTTATTACAGGGAGCATACATCATGCTCCTGAACAGGTATGCAGGTAACGTGTTGACGGTTTTTTCAAAGTAAAAGTCAGAGTCGCACACAAAAACAAACAAACTGTTATTTCACTCTTTGTTAATGATACTTAAGTTTTTGTGACATGTCTATATTTGGCTTTAAAAGATGCCACAACATTTAAATATTTCTGACAGTAATTTGTTGTGATTTATTTGCGTGAATGATTTCACTGTTTTAATTTTTGCGCACTGATTTTGCAAAGTTGTAAGTTCAGCAGAGTTCGTGCCGTTTTAGTGATTCATGCATCAAAACGTTCAGCTCGTTCAGGAGATGGACGTTATGACTTTGTTTTAGTAAATCTTTTTTTTTTTTTTTTTTTTTTTTTATATTTTTCATTTAAAATAATTTTTCTCCATAGAATTACACAGTACTTTCTCTGAACTCGTCCTCGATTTTTGTCATCATATGCTATTTTTAGCTTTTAACTTTTTTTTGCTAATTTTAAAGTTTACCTTCTTTTTTCCTACTTTTGGCTTTTAGTTAGCTTTTAGTTAGTGCTTTACTATTTATTATTTAGCATACTACTACTTTTAGCATTTGTCTACTCTAGATTTTTGATACTTTGAACTTTTAGAAAGCCGTTTGCTACTTATAGTTAATGATTTGCCACTTTCAGCTAGTTTTTAGCTGCTTTTAGCTATGCTTTGCTACTTTTAGCTTCCGGTTATCATTTCCTTGCTGTTAAATTCTTGCTCTAGTTTTGCTATTTTTAGTTTCAGTGTAGCTATTTGATGTTATTTAGCTCTTAGTTCATGATTTAATAACATCTAGTTCGCATTTTGCTGCTTAAGCATTTTCTAGTTTGGGTTTTAGCCAGCACTTTTTTTTTAGCTAGCATTCTGTTTCTTTTAGCTTTACTCAGTTTCAGCTCCCTTTAGCCTTTTTCAGCCAAGTCCCTCAGCTCTCAATGTCTCTGCTAATTTCTAAGTTTCACTCAGAAACATTAGACATCTTATTTAAGTTGTGTCCTTGGAGCAGACAAAACAAGGCTATAGCTACTTCACTCCTTCATACCAGCCGAAGTATTTTTCTTCCTCAGGATCCGATCGTCCACCTAATCATCCTTCTGTCTTGTTTCTGTTGATGTTATCGGAGATGACCGCAGACGCCAGGCAGCCTGCTCTGATTGTCCCTCCGTGGTCCCTGTAGTTAACTTTACATCATCAGCATCGCTCTCAATTAGCCGAAGCCTCCATCTTTATCTGCTTTAGCTCGGATGTGGACGAATAAATCCCGAAGCGAGTGAAACGCAGGGCCTCAAAGGTCTGTGGTTCCTCATCCGAGCTGGAGGACACAAATGATGAGTGGAAAAGCTGAAGAGTGAGCGAGATTAGAAAGAAGCCAGATCAACTCAGATTTAATTTGAACATTTTTTAAGGCACATCTGTTGCTTCACTTCTTTCTCTTCACTCTGAATATGAGAAAGTCGAACAAAGAAATTGTTTTTATCAGAATTCAGCTTTTCCCTCCTCAGGGGTTGCCACAGTTAGTCCTCCTCCTCACCTCTCTCTGAATATCGACTTTAAATCTTGGACAGCAGCGCTGCCGTTAGGACAAGGAAGTCAAGGAAACTCTTCAGGAACCAGAAGTTCTGAGGAAGTTTGCTCCATAATGTGAAACGTTACTTTAACCAAAACTGTAACTAAGAATTAAATGCTGCAAAACTCTTGGCTTAAAAGCTGAAATGATCAAAACTATAGCTAAAAGATAAAACTAGCAAAACTGTAGCCAATTGCTACATTTGACAAAACATTTGGTAATTGCTAAATTTAGCAAATATGTAGCTAAATGGTAAAACAAGCAAAACTGGCAAAAGTTACAATTATCAAAACTGTAAGAGCTTATTATGGTAAAAAATCGTTTAAAGCTCAATTTCTCAAACCTTTACCTGAAAGCTAATATAAGCAACATATTAAATACAACTAGCTAAAATGTCACTATAAGCTAAATGCAGCAAAAACCTGTATCTAAAAACTAAATTTGACAGAAAGGTAATAAAAATTAAGTCGTATCTTCAATGGAGCTGAACGTTCAACGTTACATTGTTAAATAGCACGAAGAAGCTGCGCTGCAGGAGTTTGACATCTTCGTCTCACGGACTTTAGGCGGTCTTAGAAAGTTTCTCACTTCAGGTTCAGTTTATTTTGTCCTTCTTTGTCAGAACTCGAACTTTGCATCACGTGTGAGAAAAAAAAAAAACTAAATTAGAAAAAAATGCAACAAAAGGAGGAAACGCTGACTGAGAGGAGGACTGCGGGCCTTCGGCACGGATGGGTTGCAGGTTTACTTTCCTTCAGCACCTTGTGTTTTCGGCTGTTAAATACTTTGTCTCCGAGCTTCTGGTTGTCCCAGAGTTCTGATGGGTCCGTTTCGAACAGCAGACCATCTGTCCCCGCTGACTCTCCGCGCTCCAAAAAACCACTCATCCTCTAAATGAGTTTCCTTCTGCTCCACTCGCTCGGCGCCGCAAAACGACACCTCCTAATTGGACCCCGACTTCCTGCCCAGAGCTGACGGCCGTCTGACCTTTGGAGAGCCGGGAGTCCAAATGTTGGGTCAGGATCAAGAGGCCGAGCAGCGTTGCGTTGTGTCGACCTCGGCGCTGTCCACCTTCCCTTCGACCCGTACCAGAAAATTAATTGTCCAACCCCGGGTGGCTGATGGGACCGCCAGATCTGCAGCAGGCCCCACAGACGAGCAGAAACTTTGCTCCTTTTTTTTTTTTTACTGGATCTCAGAGTCTGGCAATGCAATAAAAGGAGAGGTCGAGAAGACAAAAATAAAAAAACAGATAAGAAGAAGTCATGAACTGAAGATACTGACTCAGCTGAAGCTTCTGCTGAAAGCCCATAAAAGTGAAAAACTGTGGAGACCAGAACGTTCGGTTTGTTTTTGGAGGAAACTTTTATCTTTCGTCACATCAAGCCAAACTCTTCAAAACCAGAAGATCTGCTCCACGTAAAGTTTTTATTGTTTTTGCTCCTCGCTCGTCCGGCGGCGGGAAGAAACTTTTACAGACTGACGTTATGAAGTTCCGAACGGGTCCGACTCGGGCCTTTTCAGGCGCTTTTAAAAAGCTCGTCAGCCAAATATCAAACAGACCGATTTATAAAGTGTTTCAGTAAATTTAAAGAAGTAAAATGTTCTTATTGCGGTAAACTTACTGGGAAGCTGATTTTAACCCAGAAGTCCTTCAACTTTAACTTTAAATGTATCTCAGGGGAAAAATGGAACACATGCTTTAAAATACTATTTATTTACTTATTTATTTATTTATTTATTTATTAAGTGTTCACGATGCTCCAGTCTGTCGTGTTGAACTGTTTCAGCCTGAAATCAAAATATAAAAAAATAAATTACTATTTTAAGATTAAATCCTGAAGCGCTTTTCTTAAATAAATAAATAAATAAAGCAATCCTTAGTTTTTATTAAATGAACAAAATATTTGTTTTATTGCATTATTTTAACTAAATAAAATAATAAGAAAAACGTCTAAACTTTAACAAAACTCGAGTTCAGAATTTTGTGACGACCAGTAGAACCGGATCCAGTAAGCAAAAACAAGGCTTCATTTTCGGTAAAACTTGGCACGAGGCTGTCGGTGGTTAAACACGGAGGTCTTTTTTTTTTTCATTATTTTTTTAAGTCGTTCATGTTTTAATTATAAATGCGACCCGTTCTACAGTGTGAACAGTCTACGGTTCTGAAGCGACCCGCAGAAGACGACGTGACGTCACACGCAGCGCGCGGTTTACAGACGGCAGTGCGGATGCTACACGTTACCGTGTTGGCGTGTGTGGATCGGTTCTGGAGCTGTTGAGCGTTCAGATGACTAACGAGACTAACACCTACGCGTTTGTGCCCGACGTTGGTTATTATCGATACTTGGTTGGAGTCCGACCTCACCGACGTACGAGGCAGATAAAACGTGCACGTTGAGAAACACCAGGTATGGATCCGATTTGTTCCTCGTACTTTCAGACCCGAGGAGACAAAACTGAGAACGGTTCCAGATAACCACGAAGAGCGTGCAACTGTTTTAAGATCATTTAACAAAATTAAATCTTGAGCAAATGTTTGGTTCCTGCGACGTGCGTGAGTATATTGAGAACCCTCGCAAACATTTTGAGACTTTTTGAGACTTTTGTAAACGCTGTTCGCAGTTTGTCACCAACAGAATCAGTTGGATAAAACGGAGTAGTCAAAGTAAAGTCCCCATTAAAAGGGGATCTAGAGGAAAATGTTGGTTAAAATAATTCAACTTAATGCATCACTTCTGTCTCTAAGCTTTTCCATTGATCTGTTGGATCAAAAAGCTTCACAGGAGCACAGAGCGAGGCTAAAATCGTCTTTGTAACCTAAACCTCGGCTTTATTTCTCCCAACAGCCGAAGCTTTTTGATGTTGCTTTAGCTTTTTAATTTTTTTTTTAAGCAGAAGCCACAGAGAGAGACGGTTCATCTGATCCCTCATTGTCCCGACACAAATATAAACGTCAGGTTCCATCATCGAGCTCATTCACGAGACGGATCACGTTCCATCGTCTCTGGTTCCAAAGCCGTCACGTGTGCCGTGGAGTTCGTTCTGTCCGGGGAAAACTACCACCGCTAAAAGTTCAAAGATGACGCCTGGGATTTAGAAGATAACGCCACTCAGTTTGTCTCTTTAGGTTTCTTTTATTCTGTAAAACAGCCGAACGTTGGCTTCATTTGGATTCCAGAGTTCTCGCTCGTTTTGTCCTTTAACTTTATGACCATTTATGTTCCTTGAGAGAAAAATCCACCTTATTGCTAAAAAATACAGTTTTTAGTATTTTTTTAAAAACCACAATAAACTAGTTTGTCTTTAATTAAGAGCTATTTCAGCCTGAAAATAAAATACCAAATTTTAATGTAAACGTTTTATTTTAACTCTTTAAAAGTGTTTAGTTAAAAAAAACCTCTGCATTTCAGTATTTTTAAAAATTGACCACTTATTTTAAGGTAATTACAATTTATGTGTATATATATATATATATATATATATATATTTATATATAGTTTTTACTATCTCGTGGCCTTGTGTCAAAGCTGCGTCAGCTTTGACACAACAAAGTTTATGAAAGTACAGTGAACTCTTGGACTTCTTTTCCGCTCTGAGAGACTTTTTATTGAAACTTTGATTTGTTTTGCTGTCTGAGCATTTTCATCAGTGACTCAGTCTTTGGTTCTTCTGTCTTTCACCTCAGGGTCCAAACGCCCTCGTGACCTACACCATCCTGAGCGGGGCGGACGACAGCTTCCGCATTGACCCCGAGTCCGGCGACCTGATCGCCACCAAGAAGCTGGACAGGGAGCGGCGCTCCAAATATTCCCTCCTGGTGCGAGCGGACGATGGCAAACAGTCGTCTGACATGAGGCTTAACATCACCGTCAAAGACGTTAACGACCACTCGCCCAAGTTCTCCCGGCTGACATATTCCTTCGACATCCCTGAAGACATGGCGCCAGGTGAGGTCACCTAATGGAGCGTACAGTTACAAGTTATGTCTGGCCATCGTTTCTTAACCTTGAACTCACTTGGTCAGTTTTCACAAACGCTTGATTACAGTCGTTGCCTCCAATGGAAACGACCAATAATTAGATTTTGGGGCAATTGCTTTTTCGAACCGTGCCTTATCGGTTGGTACAGTGTTTGTCCAATTAAAACCTGCTTTTTATATTTTCTCGTTATCTTTAAACTTTACAGTTGTTTGCTGATCTGAAACATGAAACTGCGACAAAAAACAACAGCTCAAGAAATCTGTACGGAGCTTTCCAAATCTCTGCCATTTCTAAAGTCGTAAAACCGAGAGTTTAGCAGGTCCGATGGACAAAAACTGATATTTGGTTTATTTGGAAGTCAGTCACCAACCTGCAGGATTTACAACACTCGCAGCTGTCTGGCGAACCTCACGGGACACTCGGCACTGAAATCACAACAAGAAAAGTTTAATAAGCAGACAAGAATGTCTAGTTATTATGCAGTCAAAATATAATCTGTTTTAGTACCAATAAAATGCCTAATGAGCTGTTTTATACACACATCGACAGTTTCAACAGCGGCCATGTTTTGATTTGGAACGCAAGGTATAGTTGTGGAAAAATTGACGACTCACTCGTCTTAAAAACCTCTGTAATAACTCCCCTGCGGTCATTTTCTAACGAATGTCTCGCCTGTGTGTCATCAGGCTCCATCGTGGCGGCGATCCTAGCCAGCGACTCGGACTCGGGGGTGAACGGAGAGGTCACCTACTTGCTGGAGGAAGACGACGAAGACGGGACCTTCCTCCTCAACCCCGTCACGGGGGTCTTCAACGTGACGCGCCCGTTGGACTACGAGACTCAGCAGTACTATATTCTGACGGCAAAGGCTCGGGATGGAGGCGGGCAGGCCAGCACGGTTCGGGTGTATTTCAACGTATTGGATGTGAACGACAACCCGCCGGTGTTCGACACCACCGTCTACAGCGCATCGGTGTCTGAGAGTCTGTCCTCCGGGTCCAGCATCCTCACTGTGGTCGCCTCTGACACTGACGATGGTAAATCTGAAAACTGCCTTCAAAAGGTCAAGAAAATGTTTATTTCTGAACGTGACATATTTACTGTAAGGTCGCAAGAAAAAGAGACACACCAACTTTAGTGGTCTCCCGTCAGATTTCTAAATTTGGATATATCTGTCATTTGTGCAAAAGTCGTGTCCTGGGATTGGTCCTTGAAGCGGTTTTTAAAATCTGAGAGCAGAGTTTAAATGATGGATCTTGAAAATGTCCCAAACATGTCGCTTTATTTAAAGAAAACAGCTCGGCATCTCACGTTTAAAGCTGTAAAGTACTCTTCAGGTTCGTAAATCAAGTGCGAGCTCGCCAGAGGAGATTAATTTAACGAAGTCCCGTCACTTTGTTGTGACAGCTGGTTCCACAGAAGCTCTCAAGCCTGCATCTTATTTTTCGTATTTCTTTTGAGGCGTGCATGAAAGACGTGATGAAATGCAACGTCTTCACTGTGTGATTAACTGGCTCGAGTTATGGCTGTGTTTCAGGTGGTGAGATTTGTGACGGTGTGGTATTTGAACGGTTTCCCCTGCTGTAATTACTGCTTCGCCCAGGCTTAATGTGGTTATCATGACCCACATTCCTGGGAAACACGCTGCCTCGTTCTCAGTCTGGTTCCTCTCCCCTCCATCCACATGATTCTGACGCCCTCTCAGACACGAAGCGGCGGTTTTCCTTCGTCACAATGAAACGCTGTCATCGTGAGCACTTCCTTAAGCTTCGACCCGCGACCCTGGGACTTTGTCTTTGCATAGCGTAGCCTAAATGTAGCTGGGGTCAGCACTCTGGCTCTTGATAAGAGATTACTTGACTGTAAATACGCAGCGGAGTGTGAGACAGTGTTAATGCTTTCCACTCGAATACCTCGTTAAGTTGAATTACGGACGCTCAGCTGATGCTCATTTGAACCTCCAGTTCCATTCAACCAGAGGTTAGATGCACCCATCCACTCCGTCACCGTCAACTTGTGTTATTTCAATAAGTGTTGGGATCTTGGGGGTTTCCCCAACACAAAAGGCATTATCAGTTCAGGAAGTGGTTTGCAGTGGTCTCTTTTTTTGATAGCAATCCATCATGCTGCTTGAATGGATTGTCCTGTTGGAGGACGAGTTGAGAAGGTTTTGGACATGTACAATTTGTGGAAATGGAAGCCGATAATCAGTAGAAGCGTAACTCAAGGACACATAAAATTATATAAAGAACAAAAGAAATATCAGCATTTGGCCTCCATGGTTTGTTTTAGTTATCTTGTTTTTTTATTGTTCTGGGTTCAAGGTCTGAATAAATTCTCAGAGTCGAAGCATTCCTTTTAGGGAACGTCTGTTGTATGATTTAAATTTTAAAAATGCTAAAAGTTTCATTTCTGACATGTTTTTCAGGACCAAATGCTCAACTCTTCTACAAAATTACATCTGGTGACCCCCATAGCCACTTTGCCATCTCCAAGGAAGGTATTCTAAAAACTAAGAAGGCTCTGGACCGGGAGACTCAGTCCTTCTACAATCTTGTGATAACAGTCAATGACCTGGCCCCGCCTCCCATCACTCGTTTCACCAGCACTTCCCAGGTGTCCATCATTCTCCTGGATGTCAACGACTGCGCTCCAACGTTTACCTCCCAGAGGATGGCCTACATCCAGGAGAACACGCCGGTGGACACGATCGTCTTCACCGCCCAGGCCTCAGATGCCGACAGCGGCCCCAACAGCTACGTGGAATACTCCTTAAGAGGACCTTTTAGTCACAAGTTCAGCATCAGCACAATAGATGGACACATCAGGTTGGTCGGGGAACTTGACCGAGAAGAACTTTCCAACTACACCCTCACAGTTGTAGCTACAGATAAAGGTGAGCCCCCACTCTCCTCGACCATGGACGTGATCATGATGGTACTGGATGTCAACGACAACACGCCAAGTTTCTCTCAGAACATCTACGACATTGAGATTGAGGAGAACATCCTGACCGGCACCGATGTCATCCAAGTGTTTGCCAGCGATGCCGATGACGGCACCAACGGGCAGATCCGCTTCTCCATCTCTGAGGGCAACATCAACAATGACTTCCGGATCGATTCAGTCACAGGGATGATCTCTGTCGCCAGACAACTCAATCGTGAGACACATTCTTCTTATTCGCTGATTGTCCAGGCAACAGATCGAGGAAGCAGCCCGAGAGTGGACCGCGCAACCGTCAACGTCGTTTTATTGGATGTTAACGACTGCTCACCGGTGTTCGAGCTCTCTCCTTACACCATCAACGTTCAGGAGAACCTGGAGAACCTCCCACTAAACATTCTGCAGGTCAGTCTTTTCTTTCAGACGGAAACTTTCCTTGAATGACAGTTTAAAGATCTTAAACAAGCTAATGCCTTAAGTGAATTTGTAGCAACACTAACTTAATAAGTGCAGGTATGCAAGTGGTACAACTGCACCCAAACACTGAACGCCATGGTCCTGTTTTGCTATAATGACAAATACCTGACAGAAATGATAAAAAAATGATAAATGGCAGTAATTTGCTCTGCTCAATTAAGGGCTTTATAGGATTTCACCGAAATATGAAACTCGGCTGAACTGCCACATTAACGTTGTAGCCGCCTTGATGACTAAATGAGCCGAAAATAAAAAATACAGAAGAAAAGCTCAGTTTCAGTAGCAAAGCGGTCCAATTTTCCCTCGCTTGTGTAACTTAAGAGGAAATGAGTGTACAGCTATGTGAGGGGAAATGGTCCAAACACAAAAGGGCTCTGCTGGGCTACCCTGTCTGACTGGACCGTACACGGCAAGAAAGAGAGTCAAAATCAGATTTATGGATTTTATACTTTAAAAAAAAAAGCTATTTAAATTATGTCTTTAATCCTGGCTGCAGTCTAGACCAATCGTTTTCAAAGTTGGGGTTGGGACCCCACAGTGAGACGTGAAATACCAAATGAGGGGTCCTGAGATGACTTCCAGAAAGAAAATAAAACTTGGAATCGACTCCTAATGGCATTTTATTAAAGAAAATGTAAAAAAATAAAAAAATAAAAACCCAAAGTCTGAAGTGGGTGAAAATAAAATGAATGAGGCTGTTTGTACTTTTGTTGTATTCATGTTTAACTGACTTATTAGCGATGTCTGTACACTTTAACCAGTGACAGTCAGGGTCATGAGTCCATGCTGACGTTATTTTGTGGGTCAGAAGATGAAAAGTTTGGAAATCACTGGTCTGGACCGGTGGTCTTCAATCCTGGTCCTTGAAGGGCCACTATCTTTAACTAGTTCTCTGCTTTAACACGCCTGGTGTGAATCAATGGGGTATTAACAGGTTTCTGCAGAACTTGAGGACCTGCTGAAGAGCAGGAACTAAAACATGCAGGATAGGAGGACTGGACTCCAGGACCAGAATCAGGGACCGCTGGTCTAGACCAATGGCTCCCAAACTTTTCAGCTTTGGTTTAACGACACGAACTTTGCTAAAAAGTAAACTATGTGTGTCATTGTGCTTTTTTTCTTTAAACACATATTATTTCTCATTTTTGACTATCGTTTTCATCTTTTATAACAATTGATTTAAAAATGTGCTAAAGAGCATTTATTTTTAAACTTTCTGGAGATCATCTCAGGACCCTTAGATGAAAGTTTTGTGACCCAAAAAAAAAAAAGAGTCCCGACATCAACTTTGGGAACCTCTGCCGGACTCGTGTTGACATTTCTGTAGAGTTTTTGGGAGAAGTCTGACTGGATAAAATAAAGAAATAATGCTCATCTCTGCCTCAGTAAAACCTTCATGATGCTGCTGATCAACCCTAAAATCCATCCTTCTATGCTTCACTAGAATGATCCAACAAAGAATGTTGTTAGACTTGGTGTAAAGGTCTCAACTAACATCTGTGACAGGAGCAAAAAAATAAGGATAAAACTGAAAGTGTGCAGCTCGGTTGTTTTAAATGGACTGGGTTGGTCCAGGGTTCTCCTCCAGAGATTACTTGTCAGCATGTGTTCAACACGTTGACCTGTAAAGTTTCTTTGTTTGACACAGACCAGTTCTGGACACAGTGCGAAACACAAGGAGGTTGTTTACATGTAATATCAGGTAAAGTGATGGAAAGTAACTTTTATGATTGTTTATTGTGCTCTGAATGAAACAGGGAGAAGTTATTTGTCCGAATATCTTCAACTTGATTTATGAGGTTAAGTGTGCCAACTAAAAGCTACCACCTCAACCAAACCAGCATTATGGAAACCAAACATTGTGTCAGACTGAGTAAATCTGTCATTTGTAGTCATAAAATTCCATTTTCTCCCTCACATGTAATCAAAAAGTCACTTCAAGTATGCATAGTTGGATATTTTGAAACTTTATTTGAAACTTTATTTCTATCATCTTAACATTTTAGGCATTATAATTGTGGCCATAATAGAAACAAAAACTGTATAATCTAATAAAAGTGAACACTTGTTTCAGTCAATAGATGAGCTGCATTGTTCTGGGCTGTTTGTAAGGGAGGTAAAGACGATTTAATCCAACAACGTGGAGTTACAGTAGGAATAAAACCTGAATGACTTCTAGGGAACAATGGCTTCACCTTGAAGAAAAGTCTAAACTGGAAACACGAAGAGTGTTTGTAAAAAGTGATACAGTTAGGGTCTTACTGTAACCCCAATCTTACTGGAACATAGTTATTTTATTGTCAAACGTGATTGTGTTTGCAGGTTATTGCCAGAGACGATGACCATAGTGCGAATGGACAGCTGAACTACATGCTCAGTGGAGGGAATGACGAGGGAGCGTTCACCTTGTCCTCCAGCGGTCAGCTCAGTCTGACTCAGACTCTGGACCGAGAGGCTCTGGGGAAATACGTCCTGCTGATCACAGCCACAGACTCCGGTACGTCTGCAGCCGAAGCATCAGATCGGTTCTTTATGCTCTTAATTTTTTTTGTAACATCATCTTTAGCAGCGGTTCCATCCATCCATCCATCCATTATCTTTACCCGCTTATTCCATTTTGGGTCACGGGGGTCGCTGGTGCCCATGTCCAGCAATCACTGTGCGAGGGGCGGGGTACACCCTGGATGGGTCGCAAATCCATCACAGGGCCACATAGAGACAAACGACACAAACAAACATTCAGTCTCTCACTCACACCTAGGGACAATTTAGAGTTACCAATCAGCCTAACATGCATGTTTTTTGGTCTGTGGGAGGAAACCGGAGTACCCGGAGGAAACCCACGCATGCACGGAGAGAACATGCAAACTCCACCCAGAAAGGCCCCTGGACCGGGGTTTGAACCAAGGACCTGCTCGCTGAGAGGCAGCAGCTCTACCAGTTGCGCCACCGTGCTGCCCTAGCAGCGGTTCCCCAACTTTTTATCTTTTGACCCATAAAGGTCAAAACGGTCACCATTACTTGTGTGACACCAACTACTGTTTCTGTAAATATACAAAAAATGCTAATAACTATAAATTACACAAATGCCAACATAGCGTCGTAACATCCACTGTACTACAGCACTGAAACGTTGGTTTTTGAAATTGGAATCCGGATCCCACTGTGGGTCATGAAACACCAATTGGAGGTCTTAAGATGATCTTCATTATTGAAATTGTACTTAAATTTTTCCACAATTGTGTATTTTTGCCACAAAATGGTCAGGCAGGAGTCTCCGTGGGCTACAATGTTTGCAGATGACATTGTGATCTGTGATGAGAACAGGAACAGGTGGAAGAGAACTTGGAGAGGTGGAGGTATGCACTTGAATGAATAGGAATGAAAGTCAGCCGTAGTAAGACAGAGTCCATGTGTGTGAATGAGAGGGAGGAGGTGGAACAGTGAGGCTACAAGGAGCAGAGGTCACAAAGGTGCAGGACTTCAAGGACTTGGGGTCCACTGTCCAGGAACATGGGGAGTGTGGTGAAGAAGAGAGTCCAGGTAGGATGGAGTGGATGGAGAAAAGTTTCAGGAGTGATTGGTGACAAAAGGGTGTCAGCAAAGGTCAGAGGAAAGTTCACAAGACAGTGGTAAAACCAGCTATGTTGTATGGTCTGGAGACAGAGACATGGACAAAAAGACAGGAGACAGAACTGGAAGTATCAGAAATGAGAGGTCTCTTTAGAAGAGACTAGGATGGAGAAGATTAGGAACAAGACCAACAGAGGTACAGCACAGGTTGAAGGACTGACAAAGTTAGAGAGGCCAGACTGAGATGGTTTGGACATGTCCAGAGGAGGGACAGTGGTTTGGACATGTCCAGAGGAGGGACAGTGGGTACATTGGTAGAAGGATGTTATAAATGCAGCTGCCAGGAAAAAGACAGAGGACACATATGGATGCAGTTAGAGGACATGGAGGTAGTTGGAGTGAGGACAGAGTGAGATGGAGGAGGAAGATTCGCAGTGAAGACTCCTAAAGACGGAACAGCCGAATGGAAAAGTGCGTTTTGCCAAAGCTGAGATAAAACAATTGTCACAATTAAAAAGATGAAAATTGTATAAATCAGCCATTATTCCATCATCGGAAGAAAGACCCCTACTTGGTGTTGGGTGACCCACATTAGGGCCCCTAATCCAACTTTGGGCACCATTGAACCTATTGTACCTGTTGAGGTCTGAGTTTGGTGTAAAAATCCTCGTCAGTGCATTGATATGTTGAGTTTGACTCTAAAGAGAGTATTTAGAAATGTCAACAAACCTTTTTGTTTCTGTGTTTTTCTATGTGGTGTGTTAACCTATACAATCTGGAGTTTTTAGCCTGTACAATAATGGGTGTTGTTTAAATTTTCCTTGAGTTTTTTTATTCCACAAAAGTCTTTTGAGCGGTTTGTATTGAATAGCATCCTGTGTTTATTTGAACATGGCGGTGGAGCTTGTTGTATCCAGATAAAAGGTTAACTTGTTATTCCACAGAGGCCAGTTAATGTGCAGTTGAAAAAGGACGTGTAGCCAAATCACATGGTTTCCCACTTAAATATATGTTTCCTCGAGTAGCTCTGGCCGAGCTGTCCTGGTCTGAGGGTGGTTCGGCTTCATTCTTGGACTCACCATGTGACGATGGGTATTTTTGACCGAGCTCAGACTTCGGTGGGATTTGTGTTGAACACGGAGACACTTCACTTTGGGAAAAAAAACAATTTGTTAGTGCATTTATTTTCAGGATTTTTACTAATTTGGAGATGTTATATTTATATATTTTTTTTTACTTCTAATCTAAGACATTATAAATGCATTCATTGAAGGAATGCACATCACCTACTGGCTTTCATGCCAGAGATTTAGACTTGAAACCTTGAAAGTCATACACAGAGTATTCAGTTTAATTCGGTTTATTTATATACAGTAGTGCCAAATTACCACAGTAGTTGTTTCAGGGTGCTGTACAAAAACATTCACGTACATACAAAATCCAATTAGTAAAAGTTCTCTATCTAAGTAAGGAAGCCAGCAGACTCGTTGAATCTTCATTTTGTTGCAGACTCCTGTCCTGATAAAGCACAAAGGAGACAGTGGAAAGGAAAAACTCCCTTTTAACAGGATTAAGGGTTATCCAAGTTTTATGTCTTTAAGACATGCTTAAGTAACTGATTGGATTCTTTGGGTTTCATGAGTATCATCATCATAACAAGGAAAATTTATCCCATGCTGTTTAATAGCTTTACCTAATGAAAGCATATATAAAGTAAAGAGTATTGTCCAAGCACTGAACCCTGGGGAACTCCATGACTAACTTTGGTGTGTGAAACCTTGAAAGTCACACCGGAGTACGTGTTGTGGATGACTCATGTACTACCACACACTCAAATCTTACACGATATACGAGAGCTCAGAAGTTGGTTTTGGGATGAGTCTAAGGTACTACCACACCAACTTTTACCCAAATATTTATAAAATTGGCTGAGTTGTAGACGTTTTTGCGTTTTTAAGGTCAATTGGCTGAGACGGACATCTTGAATCAGGTTGACTCCTAAAGTTGTAGACGTACATAAAGCGGTTACTCTGACACTTTAAATTCATAAAGTGGCTCATGAGATCTTTTCTTAACAGACACTACTTCCATCTTTTGGTGGCAGGTGATCATTTTTACTTTGGTTTGTGGAAAATTTTGGCCCAACAAGTGAAACTACTAATTAGGATCCCATTTTTGTTTTTATATGCTTGTCAAAAGACGGACATATTATAGTATAGTGAATGGTATTATAAACTTTCTCTTGTCCTGGGCCATAACTTCTGATACACTCAAGATTTAACAAAACGTGATGCACATTTGTAGGACCACTAGACGCCATGTCTTGTAATATTTTAATCACCCGAGCTCTAAGGTCAAGGTCACAAATCAAGGTCAAAGATTATACAAGGTCCTGTCTGGGCCGTTCCTATAGATGGCTGCAGTTTGTTGATGGGCACTGAATGTGCTTTACATACTCTTGTTGTTCTTTTCACAAGGAGTCCACATTTAGAGGCTTGACGACAATTTAAAATACTTTGACCGAGAGTTTCAGTTCAGTTTTCAGGAAGAAAGAAGGATTTAGGTAGGATGTGAGAATATCAAAAAGCCCATAATCATAGAACGGGACAAACTACCCAGCAGCATTTTGTCACATTTTTGAGGCCTGGGCTGAGACGGTGGGGGAAAGGGTTCTCACAGGCGATATTTGGCAGGAAGTGTTGAAGGTGGACACAGCAGACACGTCTCCAAGTCTGCTGTCTAACAGTGACCCGTTCTGAACCGCAGACGTTCGTGTTAAGGTCCGACGTTGTCCGAGCTCGACTCCAAAACACCACGAAAGAGACGGAGAGAGCCATTTGTCAGGGAGAGGCCCGAGTTTCAAAAAGCCGCCTTCTATCGGACAAAAGACCCGAGCTGTCTGTCAAAAATATATACTGCTGTCATGTTTGGTGTTGTGAGAAGGTCCTGCTGCGACCGCTGCACCACTTCATGACAAGAAGAGATAAATGACTGCTCCTCAGACAGAAGAGCTGTAATTTACATTCTCTTTTTGTGGGCAGAGTTTTGACCCTCTGCATTGTGTTCCCATGAGACATTTTCTAAGAAGGTAAACTTTTTAACGTGGCCAAAACAGAACTTCTGCATCATTTCTGGAACATTTCTGATGACATTTTGAGCAATGCCTAAAAGTCTGACATCCATCAGTTCTCTTCTCTAAAGTTCAACAGAACTCTGGAAATAATTTTTACAATAATCTGACAGATTGTTTATGTTTTGATGTTTAAACAAGAATCTAAAAAGCTGCCGCCAGTGGCCATTAGGGTCACCATGGTAACCACACACCAGTGTCTCTCACTTCCTGACAAGACGTCACTCTGCAAAAAGTTGTAATAAAAAAAACTTCTTGAACTCAGCTGGTCATCAAACATACATTTATTTTTATTAGTGATGCCCCAGTATCTCATTTTTTCAAATAGAGTACAAGTACTGTTTACCAATGCAATTACCAACAAATACCCAGTGTTTCCCCTACCATTATACAAGGAGGACGCCCCGCCTTGTCAACAGAACCTTGCGCCCTGCTTATCGTACTGTCTTTGCTGGCTGGCACTGATGTAGCGCCAAGCTAGCGGCGCACAATACAGACGCACTAGCTAAAAAGCTACAGAGGTAGCGCTCTGTCTCCCTCGTGCTGAGCCATTTCCTTCACCCCACCCCCACCCCCCCGACAACAAAAATCACAGAAGAGACGAGCGCCCTGCCAAGGCAAGTAACCTAGGAGAAACACTGAATACCATTACACTTCTTACAATTACTTTGAAAATGAGGTTAACGTTTGGTGTTAACTCTTCGGACACAGACCCAATGGTGAGTTATGCCCCAGACAGCAAATGGCCCCTGGATTAGTGGGGTACTCAAACCCCTCCATCACGTTAAAGTGGC